TATATATATATATATAGATATATTATGAACAAAAGGAAAATTTCCATAACATTAGACAATTGAATTAGTCGATTCATTCAGAACTTGGCTTCACAGATTACATAATTTGAAATAAAAAAATGCCTTGTGAAATTAACAAGAAACTATCAAATAATACATAAACTAATAAAGTACATTGTCCATCACCAAGGCTGCTGCACAGTATAATGCTCAAATTGCTCTGTCAATATAGTTTAAACAGCCATTTAAAAAAAAAAAGAGAAAATTTGAAAAAACAATTATTCCCCAAGATTCCAAGAAGTACATTATATGATAAGCACTATTAGGGATTCTTCATGCAATCCATTGCCCTCATCAATAAAAGCCACTTTTGTTTTTCTTCTCCTCTTTCCCTTATCACTATTGTTTGTGCTCTCACGGAGTTTATGTTTACATGCTGACTCCTTTGTGTGGCCATTCACCATAATACTTGTATGGCGGTCCACTAAACATTTGCCCCACCTTGCACGGGTGCTTGCAAGGCATCTGGTATGTCACTGACAGCTTTCACTACAAAGGTTTAGGGATAGAAACATTGTTGCATGTCCTGACATATCTAACTGCAAATGTGCCCACCTGTAGCACGGCATTTCTTTTCTGACTTGTAACGCCTTGCATGATAGTTGCAGAAATGATGATATGGTACCATTAGCACCATCTCCACTCACTGAAGTTTATGCTGTATAATATGTTTTTTGATAACCATATAAGCTCTATCAATAAAAGGTTGTTTCCTTCAACACCCCTTCGTTAGATGCCCAATTTAGGTCACCAGACCCTTTCTTTACCTCCCTCAAAATGTGGACCCTTACTCCCCATGTCACCTACTTGTCATCAAATGCTCCATTAGACATAATGCATGAAATCCTGTTTGCCCAATTTCAAATAAATCACAGTTTTGGTATCACTAGTGAAGTTAAATGAATTTATCATAAAGAAAGTTTAGTAAAATCCTGGTGAGTAATCTTTTCCATTGACTGTGAGCTGAATAGGGCAAACACAAATCTTCAAGAACATTGGAGAGGGTAATGCCTCAACATGATCAAAATGCTGAAATGGAGTGTGAATCCTTTCGTGCTTACGTTTCTCTTTGATGAAATGTTGCACATTTAAAAGCAATTAAGAAGATAATGCATCATGAACTTAGAATCGGTTGATAGATGTGTCGATCAACCTCTAATCTGGGTTTTTTTCAAATTCTCTCCTCATTATTTGTAGTTTTCCCTTAAAATCACAAAAGTCCTTATGCAAAGAAAAAGTTGGTTGGATGCATCACATATAAATTTCTTCTATTTTATGTTAGTGGGCAAAGTACAATACCTGGACAGCAAAGGCTGCAAAGTTCCACATAAGCGAGGGACATCCAATAGCTTTTCTTTCTTTTTGAAAGAGCACAAATTGTTCTTGGAAATTCCCTCCTGAGAATGGATTTGGGATTGGAGGCACTACCACAAACACATAGGAGTGTCAGTAAAAAGGCACAAATTCCTTTAAGCATTTGTATCCCTTTTGTATTAACTGATATCATAATAAACAAAATATTATCTAGTGGACTAGATTGATATTCCAACAATTCATATATTGGATGAAGGTAAGAAAACAAAAAAATATAGTAAAATGTGTCACTAGCTTCCTTTTTTGTCTTTTTTTCTTTTTTTGCTGGATGTGTGTTTGTGTGAAAGAATGTCATAAGCTTATTTCAATCAAGCTTTCAGATGAAAACAAATTATGACAGTGACCTATAAAACGGTAGTATCCAGAACAGTGGTCAACCAAAGAAGATATTTTTTTAGAATGTTCACTATTTGTATTATTAAATAAGATGTTACAAAAGCTAGGCAACCCACAAAGGGTGCCCCATACAATACGCCCGAGGGTTAGAGAGAGGCTTTACAAGTATAGATAGAAGAGAAAGAAAGAGGAGAGAAAAATAAGTATCAGAAGGGGCACCAACATTAAGACCCCAATGTGGTATTTGAATGGCCACCCTCAGCCAAAAGGTCCGCCTCTGTATTGATTTCTCTAAAGATATGGGTCCCGGACACCCTGATGCCACTACAGAGGTGTAAAATTTCTTCGAAAATGTGGTACTAGGTACCATGGCCAGTGTGAGAGATTGGACGCCCAAGAAATAACATTCTTATCTTCTTCCACCAAAAGCTCTGTGCCCCAGGAGTGATTGAACTTGCGAATGCCCTCCAACAAGGTCGGAGCCTCGGCAAGTGTGGAGTCGGCTGGGCCAATGGCTTTTGAAAAAGACAGCAGGGTATTGCCATCACTCAGGCTGAAGAGATCACCAATGCTTGAGGGACCTGGGTTGCCAAGAGAGAAACCATCAAAATTTAATTTAATGGCACCTTGTTATGGTGGTCTCCATAAAGAAGCCTGGATGATTGAAGGTGATGATACACGCAAGAGATTCCCCCAAATTACTCGAAAGTCGCAGAGTAACCCTTGAAAAGATTATGGTTTGTGGCCCAAAAGGTTACAAGATTACTGATTTTGTCGAGCAAAGATGAGATGTGGATCTTTCTCCGCTGAAAATTCTGTTGTTTCTTACAAGCCAAATGACCCAAAGAGTGGATGTGATAGAGGTTTTTCAGAGCAGTCGCCCAGCCTTTGGCCATCGGGTGTAGAGAGAGGCTGGAAAGAGTTGGGGGATGGATCTGGGGGTGACCCAGGTATACTCGAAGTGTTTTGAATAGGGCGGTCCACAGGGCACTGACAAATTCACAGTGTAAAATCATGTGTATGGGACTCTTCATCTTCCACACATGACACATCTATTGGGGCAAGGCTCACCATTTCTCTGGATTTGATCAATGGTCAGCACACTTTCGTGGATGGCGATCCAACATAAAACCTGAATTCTTGGTGGTAGGAGAGGGAGCCATGCTTTGGATGCAAGTGAGAGGTTTGAAGAGGTGGGGCTGAGGTTCAAGGTGAGTGCGCAAAAGAAAGAGGACACCTAGAAGGTGCCCGAGGCAGCAGGAGCCCATGTGATCCTATCTTCTCCAGAGATAGGGAGGAAAACAGAACGAAGCAAACCAGTCAGCGTGCTGAAGTCCTCAAGTTCGTGGTCAGCGAGAGGTCGTCTGAAATTGGGCGACCAAGATCTTGTCGCCCCTGTGGTAGTGCAGTTTTTTGCCACTGTGGAGCAGGCATCAGTAGCTAAAAGGTAGAGAATAGGAAACTGTTCCCTAAGTGGGCTGTTGCCTATCCACTTGTCAAACTAGAACCTCACCTTATTCCCCTCCCTCGAGCTAAAGCGAATGTGCTGGAGGAAGGAATTTCGGCATTGAAGAACCAAGCACCAAAAACCAGAGGTGGGCCTAGTCGTTTGCGGCACTATGGGGTCCAAAGATGGTTCCCTTGACAATAATTATATTTGATGATCCCCCTCCACAGGTGGTTAGGTTGGGTGGCAAACCTCCACCACTTGCCCAAGAGGGCTGTGTTGTGTGTTCTAAGGTTGTGAATCCCCAAACCCCTGGAGATCTGGAGACGCACAGTTTTGGCCAAGACACCAGGTGGTATTTGTGTCCATGTTTTTTTTTTATAATAAATAAACATGGTTTTTGTCTCCATGTTCCCCAGCCCAAAAGAATTCCTGCATCAATCTTTCCAACCATGCAGCCACTGCCCCAGGGATGTGAAATAAGGACCTCAGGAAAATTGAGGTATTGGCGAGGGAGGCCTTGATAAGCATAGGCCTACCCGCCTTGGAAAGAAATCTGCTCTTCCAACCCGCAAATCTGTGATCAAACTTGTCAATAATGTGGCTCCATTGCGAGAATCGAGGCATTCTGAGGCAAAGGGGAAGGCCCAGACAATTTGAAGGCAATTCCTCCGCAGAACAGCCCCATCTATCGGCTAGAGACTGTATTATGAATGGGTCTGTGTGGACCACCATCATCTTAGACTTGGCGAGGACTTAGTAACATACAAATAGAATGGCAATTAGAATACAAAGGACCTACAGTTCAACCTTCCTTAATGATAAACTGTATGCAACCCCAACTCTTATCATTGTTCCTGATCTCTAACAATCAGAACTAAAACCAACTCTTATCACTGAATTTCAATCATTGACTGTAGGCATTGACTGAGGTTTCAGGCCTAGGATTGATTGGCTAAGGTGTTGACTATTACAACATTACCTCCCAAGTTCGAATTCTACAGCTGAATCACCCAAAAATTAAAAAAGAAGGGGGGGAAAAAATAGCAAAAAAAAAATGCAGGCATTGATTAGCATGGTTTACTTAGGAAACCCTAATATCATTGCATCTTTTTTTCCCTTTTTGTCAAGGACTCACATGGATGGAGTTGATCCCATTGAACAAACATTGAAGACATCAAGGCATCCTCAAAAAGAACATATCAGTATCCATAAAAAGCCATCGATAGAAGTGGTGGAGGATCCAACAAGAAATTCATTTCTGTCCAAAGACTTTTCTTTTCTTAATAAGTAAACTGAGCACTGAAGCATAGGTGAGTCAAATGTAAGACATTAGTTGCTAGCAGGTGTGTTTCAAAAAAAATTATTTAACTCAGGACTTGATCCTGAGCAAAAATGAGTAGATCACAGGCCATCTTTTCCAATTTTTGCTATTTTAAAATAAATTCTAAAAATATTTGAAAAATACTAATATATAATAAAGTCACAATGCATTAGCCACTGTAATGTTATGTAACTAATATATTATGATTATATAGTTGATATATTGTTCTATAACATGCTTAAACTGTTAATGTAATGTGGTAAGTTTTGTAGTTACGTAACATGGTGACTACTAAATATAAGTACTTCATTATCACATAACTCTGATTACTTGCTAGATCCTTATATAATATAAATACTAATAAATATTAGCATTCGTTTATCAAAAGAATACAAATCAGTATTTTGAAGTAATAAATATCTAATATTGGTAACTAATTTACTTAGTAATTGAGTATACAATGACAACATGATATATTAGCATAAAATAATAATATTATACATTAACAATATTACCAAGTAACTTCACATTCTATAATGACTATAATTTATGAGAATTTGATATATTAAAACAATAGCAAAATTAGGAATCGGGCAAGACGGTAGAGGCTGGGTTTTCATAGCACAAAATCTCAAGTTCCATTCCTATGTAACTTTGTCAAACAAAAACAAAAAAACAATAGCAAAATGCTCTTACACAAAGCAAACTTTTATGAATCCATGATTTATTACAATTTTAAATTTAGACACATGATAAAACATTCGAGAAGGGTGAATAAAAATCTGGGAGCCTGGCAACTTGACTTGTCTTCTGCAAACCTAGTCAGAACAACCCAGTTTTTAACCGGATATTTTCACAACAAGTTTCCCTAAGCAGATAAAGTAGTCTATTTGTTGCACCCATCACACTGGTTACGAGGAATATGATCTCCATAGTTTTCTATCAAAGAAAAAACTACTATGAGCCTTGCTTTCTCATATTTCTGCATTCTGATTGAATGACAACAATGTCATAGTGTACATGCTAAGTCTCCAATTAATATATTCTTTACCAAACTCCAAATTAAAAGTAAGGATTGCCATAAAAAGAAAAACAGCAAGACAATACAAATAGAGAAATCAGTTGCGCACATTTTGGGAATAAGACTGAGATCTTCTCCAACTGCTTGAGCCGCAAAACAAGTATGGGAAACAATGTCATCCTAAGCGCAAGTGTAGACGTAGTAATGACAGCCCACCTGAAATGCCATTTAAAAGCACAGAACAATGTACAGTTATGTATTTAAAATAAATAAAAAAACAGAGCAATGCACACTTGTGACACACTGTCAAGTTTCAAATACTTTAACTTATTTTACAATTTCTGTTATATTAGTCAATTAAAGAGGAAATTTAATAAGCTCTCACAGCACTCACAACAACATATCAATATACACATAAAATGCAGATAATGCATGAAAAAATGGGAACATATGCAAGAAGAAATAAAATGTAGAATTTCAGTTAAAACTCAAGAAGAACTTATCATTGCCTCTCCATTATTCGAATACACTGTTATACAGAAGGTCAAAGAAGATAGCCCTATCTCAGAATTTCTCCATGTATTTCAACTATATGAACTCTGTTTGACTTAAATTATTTCATGGAGAAGGCCTTAAAAAGTGTCAAGAATGGAAAATATCTTCACCTAAATGACCAACCTGGAAAACTCTGTTGATTAATAATCACTCATGTGAGGATGATTTTGCTGAGAAATTTTGAATTCGGCACTCAAAAAAAATAAAAATAAATAAATATTAGTCAAATTTTAAAACAATAGCAGCAAATTAAAAGCAATTGAATATGCAATATTCTATAGGAACAAGAACACCCATATTATAAACCACTGTTAGATATTAAGATAATTCTGTCATAAAAATTCCTCAGACCTGAAATTAGTTAAACACAAAAAAAATTTTGAAGCAGAACATCAACATTTAACATTTTTAAACAGAACCAAATCCAAATGACCAGCTGAATCTTCATTACTCATAAATGATAATAAATGAAACCTTAATACAGTACTCAACATCCAAACCTAAACAAGAAACTTGAAACATCATGAACAGAGACATGAATCAGTGAGATAAAAAAATACTAAAAATGTCAGACCATTCATTTCAAATTATTATTTTTAGTTCATTCCAGTCCATTTTCAGGTGAAAATAAACTCGGATTCTTACCATGGAAGACCAGTGACACCATGGAGCCCATCAAGTAGACCAATCACACCATCAACAGGAAAGTACCACTCGATCCCTTTTCCCGAACTCTCTGCAAGAGCTTCCGCACCTTCTGCAACTGCTTGGGCATCAAATCGTCGGCTTGATACGTCTGCATCTCTCCCCAAGTCCTCACTCAGTTTACAAACAAGTCCACCATTATGATTATCAGCCTGAGGATTAGGGTTTCCACTCGAATTCCACCATGAAAAGGATCTGTACGCTATATGACTGTGAAAATCGGAAAAAATCTGGTAATTCTTAGGTGATAACAGATTTTCAAGAGCCGTGTAATTTGCAGGAACACCATTATAGGAAGAAGAGTACACTATGATAGTTCGAAAACGTTGAAGCCCATGAAGGATCCTTGCCATTTAAGGAGGTCGAAGCAGGGCTTTCTCTGCTCTTCAATGGCGGGTTCTCCAGTTTCTTGTCTCTGAAATTAAGCCATGAAAATGATGACATATGAGCGCGAAAAAAAAAACCTCAAACCTAGAAAATGGGCGGGGTTTAAATAGGTGACGGAGTTACTGCCACTTTAGCAAACGAGATTGTATAAAATGATTCCATTTTTGTTTCATAAGACGTGATGCAACCATCACATATGAAATCCGATAGCTTTCATATTTACAGAGATCACAATTATCACAATTACTTACAACCATAAGACATGAAATCCGATAGCTTTAATGTGTTGCAAAAGTTCAGAAACTTTCTTTTCAGGTTTGTGTTTGATCAATTGGATAAATACAGCCATCCGGTTTCATATCCAATATTAAATTTAATTGTAATTATTTTGTATAAAAAATAAGTGGTCTCGTTGTATATTTTTTTTAATAATATTTATTAGTGGATGCGATTTCTAAGAGGCTTAGATCTCGTGAAAAAGGAAACTCCATCCAAAAAATACTTTGGGCATGGGAAATCTGGCTCTAAAATAGATTTCAAATACATATTATGAAATTTGTAACTCACCAAATGGCGTAGATCTTGTGGATCCATAATCATTTTAAAATAGAGGATCTAGATAATGTGTATAACACTATTTTTAGGGTTTGAAATCCTAATTTCTTTTCACATAGTGGCTAATATCAAGATGGGAAATTTGAAGGTTTTTTGAAATTAAAACTACAACTTTTTATGAGTTTTAAGGTGAGGCTTTACTTATTTTGATATGGTTGCATCTTTATCAAAATATTTTTCCTTAATTAATGCTAGATTTAATTAAACATTTATATCTCATAGTATTTTTAGTAGTATAATAACGGCGAATAATATCGTTATTGATAAATAGTAAAATATAACTATAATATTTTATTATATAAACGTATTCAATTTTCATTAGTTAAGTAGATTAAACAAAAAATTTATAGAGAGTCAAGGCTTTAAAAAATTAAATTAGAGCCCACCTCAAAAATTTTACTAGAAGAAGTTGTTTTGATGCTTAGATATCATCGAATTGATCACCTCGACATCAAGATGCACGGAAATGAGAAAAAAATAGATTTCAAGTTTTGGAAATAGTATATCTTGTAACACATTTTGGATCGTTAATTTTCAAGATTTTTAAGTTTTCATAGATCTGCTCAATCTAGACTATTTATGAAGCTTTAAGTTGTATAATTAAAGATGAAAATATATTTTAAAGCTATCCTAAAGATTTCCAATACAAAAACCATATTTGTACGTAGCTACTCATGTATTTGGTCTGGATATATTCGAGAAGGGATAGACATCCATGGAGCTCCTCTAATAATCTCTCAACTTGGGTTTGATCTAAGCTAACAAAGGGGAAGTTTGACGACAAACAAAAAGCAACAAAACATTGCTGCTACAGCAAAAGTGTACAAAAGGTAAATGGTCACAATCTCTTATCATAGTTGTAAGTAATGAAATTGTAATTAGTACTTGTTATGATAAATGGATCGGGAAAGGTTTTTATACTTCCACTACAACATAGAAGATATATACTTTCTCATCCAATTTAGATTAAAGGATTCACCACTTGACCTAGATCCGATGCCTTTGAGTATTTTACTTTTAGTTTCTTGTATAAATTGTATGAAAATGAAAATTGATACATGCTATTTTCTCAATGGAACGCACCTAAAATAAATATTAAATTTTTTTTGATAAAATATAATAACCAAAATACCTTTTAAAATTTTTAGGGGTATTTTGGTTATTTTATTTCATGTGAATATCGTTTTTACATTTTTTACAAGTCCAAGTTTAAGAGGGGAGTGGAAACCCAAAATTTGGTGTCAAAATATTTTATAAAAAAATTAAAAATAAAATAATATATACATGATATTGTGATTGGAATCATCTCAACCATCCATTCTGAATAGACTGGTAGATAAGGCGATAAGTTTCATCCCGTAGGACAAGCATAGAGAGCTTGCCCAAATGGATTAACTCAACACATAGAAGGAATAGGCAAGCAGGTGAATCTAGACATTAATATTTAATTAACTATTATATTAATATCAAATAATAACATAAATAAGTTATTTATGTTATTATTATATTGGTAAAAATAATAATTACAATATGAGATGATCATAGATAGATTATTATTGTTATTTTAAAAACTATATTGTAGTTTTTCTATTCAGATATGCTATAATCTTTATGATGGTGAAATTTATATGTTGTAGTATCCATGAAAACTCTCATCAAGAAAAGGAAGTATAGGTGATATATTTTATTATAATTAATACATAATAACATAATTATATATATAGAATTACAATACATTCATAATCTAGTATACTCAAAATATATTATTAATATTGTAAATATTATTCACATATTTTATGATAATTAAGATTATAATACTTATGATCTATAACAATTATAAATAACTATAATGATGTTGATGAATAAATAATATTGATTATCATAATTATTAATGAATAGATAATATAACAAATATAATTTGGGCCTCTTTGAAATTAAAATAATTATTTGGGTGTAAATTTTATTTAAGTTCCTTATTCTCTTTTGTATTTAATATTGGTTATAAGTTTAACTAACTTGTACCCCACCTCAAACATCCTTGTTTAGTAGGAGAGAGAGATATGAATAAGAAAGAGAGAGAGTAACATAATTATTTAGTGAGAAAGAGGCATGGATTGAGAGAGACACTTGTAGCATTAAGGGAGATAAAAGTCCCACCAAATAACCATAGAGGAAGAGGATAAAAAAGAGAGAAGATGTGCAGAGAGATACTTGCGGCTTGAAAATAAAAGAAAAGGATTTCAAGTTTATTTTGTAAAAAATTATTTAAACATTTTATTTTCAAGATTTTGAAGTGTTTATAGATATGTTTAGTCTACATCACTTTTAGAACTTAGAGTTTCATAATTAAGGCTAAATACAAATTTCCAAGACATATATGTAAGGTTTTTTATGCCGGAACTACATATTTTGATAAAATTTAGAAGTGCCTTGTGGTTTGTACAAAGTGCGCACCTATTAAAAACCTCACCTATATTTTCCGAGTCCTTTTCTCTTGGTTCAAATAAATTTCTAATATATAAAGGAAATTTGTTTCACGAGTCAGCGGGCGCAAGAGCCTATGGACCTACCAATGTCGATCTTTATCTAAATTGTATTGGCCATGAATAAGATATGGGCGGTGCATAAAAAATATAAAAAAAAATTAAATTTTTATTTTTAAAAGTTTATTTTTCTTTTCATATATATGATCATCTTTGCCTAGACGATAAAAAAAAAAAAATTAGAAAAAAAAATCATCTAAAAATGAATTTTAGTGGGGGGCTGCAAATGTACATGTGAGTCGGCCGACTCATAGAAACCCCATCCATAGATAAAAGCTCCGTGTGATTCTCGTGCTCTGTTTTAGTTTCAAATTTCATGGCAACCTTACTGGCCATCACACCGGGCCTCCTCTCCACTCACCAAGCCAGCCCCAAGTTAGACCGAGCCCATCAAGGGCTCGACCAATGGCCCCACCTGCGAGCGATAGCTCAGCTAGACCTGTGCACCAACCTGACCGAGGTGCACCAGCTCCACGCACAGCTGACCAAAACTGGGTTCGCTCGAGACCCCATAACGCTATCCAAACTCATCACCTTAACCGCCATCTCAGACATGGGTAATCTTGATTACTCTGAATCAATTTTTAATGGCATAGAAAATCCTAATACTTTCATGTATAACGCCATGATAAAGGGTTTTTCAGGTAGCCAAAAACCTGAAAAATCAATTGGGTTTTTCTATAAAATGTTGGAGAATGGAGTCAAGACTGATAAATTCACATACCCATTTGTTTTCAAGGCCTGTACTCTTCTTTCTGCAATTGAAGAAGGGAAGCAAATTCATGGGAGGACTGTTAAGAGTGGGTTGAATTCGGATGTTTATGTGCAAAACAGTTTGATGCATTTTTATGCCAATGGAGAGAATTTAGGTGATGCTTGTAAAGTGTTTGATACGGGCTCGGGCTTGAATGTTAGCTCTTGGAACACCATGGTTTCTGGTTATTTGAAATTTGATGAAATCGAATCTGCTCGTCAGTTGTTTGATGAAATGCTCGAGAGGGACGTGGTATCATGGAATTGCATGATGGATGGTTATGTAAAAATTGGCGACATGGGTCATGCATGTCGATTGTTTAATGACATGCCTAAGAGAAATGTGGTCTCATGGAGTACCATGATATCGGGTTATGTCCAAAATTCGGACTATAAAGAGGCACTGAATCTCTTTAGGAGAATGCAAATCGAGAGAGTGAACCCAAACAGGATCACATTGGTCAGTGTTCTTCCTGCAATTGGTCATATCGGTGCTCTATGTCAAGGCGAATGGGTACATGGCTACATTGACAAACATAACATGGAGTTGGATTGTGTTTTGGGTTCGGCTCTTGCCGATATGTACTCTAGATGTGGAAAGATTAGAGATGCCCTGTGTATATATGAGCGTATAGTACATGTATCGAATTGCATCACATGGAATGCCATGATTCAAGGACTGGCCATGCATGGGCAAGGCATAGATGCTCTTAAAGCATTTTCACGCATGCAGAGCTTAGGCATAGCCCCTGACCATGACACATTTGTCGGTGTTTTGAGTGCTTGCAACCATGCTGGTCTTGTCGAAGAGGGCCTTAAATACTTTAGCCTTATGAAAGAGAAGTATAATGTGATGCCTGGTATCAAGCATTATGGATGTCTCATTGATCTCTTAGGTCGAGCTGGTCGTTTCGACGAGGCATTGGATGTCATACATAACATGCCTATGGATGCTGATGCTGTCATATGGGGTTCGTTACTCGGGTCTTGTAGAAATAATCACAACATCGAGCTTGGTGAATATGCAGCAAAGAAATCAATGGAATTGGACCCAAAGGACAGTGGATTTTACGTGCTTTTATCGAATATGTATGCTGATGCTGGTCGATGGGGAGATGTCGAGAGAGTGAGGAAAGACATGAATAAAAGGAGAGTTAAGAAAATGCCGGGGTGTAGCTCTGTCGAATTGAATGGTGTGGTTCACGAATTCACTATCAAAGGAAGCTCTCACCATCCTCAAAAGGAAGACATTGCTAATATGTTGGATGAGATTGAAGGGAGGTTAAGATCAGTTGGGTACGTACCACAAACAAGTGAAGTTTTGCTAAACATGAAAGAGGAAGAGAAGGAGGCGGCACTGTATCGACATAGTGAGAGGGTGGCATTGGCGTTTGCACTCATTAGCACCGGACCAGGAACTCCAATTCGAATCGTGAAGAACCTTCGAGTATGCGAAGATTGTCACTGGGTATTGAAACTTGTATCAAGCCTTTATGAGAGAGAGATTCTTGTGAGAGATCAGAACCGTTTTCATTGTTTCAAGAATGGATCTTGTTCATGCCTAGATTATTGGTAATTTTTATTTGAATAGGCTTGGTGGGGGTTTTGGAGGGAAAGATTGTTCTTCTCTTTGTTCAATTTATCTTGCTGATGGTTTCTTTTTTTTATTTTTTTCTTTTTTTTGTGGTGAAGTGGGCTTTTATTGCAATGTCTGTTGAAAACAATTAAGGGCTTGAATTGTTTTTATTTTGCAATATAGGAATCAATATGAGCTTTTGTACACCGTAATCAGGTGGTTTGGATTCTGGACCTCTTGGTTACACCCATGTTTAAAAACACGGTTCAGTGACCTGGGTCGCCCCTCTAGAAACTGGTCTGGTTCAGTGGTCCGGATCAATGATATGGCCTAGTGAATCTACAAATAAAATAATTTAAAAGATAGGGAACAAAATATTGTAAACTATTAAAAAATAAAGTGGGACTGGGTTTCTGACAGAACCGACCGGTTCCCTGGTCTTATATTTAGCCATTAGCCAGAACTGGACCAGACCCATTCCCCGAATTGCATGCAACCTCGAATCCCAAGCCAATTTTCGTAAATTAAAAGATGGCGGCTGGTTTGAGCTAGTTTTCGTGCGAATGTTGTTATATTCGCTTTTAGAGGTCTCTTGTTTTGGGCAGGGAAAGAGAAGCGCCTCGGATATTTGGATGATTTGGGAGAAGCTTTCGTTTAAAAAACTAAAATTTTAAAAGTATTTAGGCAAATTTTGAAATATTTTTATTATAAAGTATAGTCTGAGAAACTTTTGAATGCAATTGACTTTACTTTTCGTAAAAACTTTAGCATTTTAGAGGCATTTAAGAAACTATTAAATAAGTGTCCATGTTTTAAATAATTGTTATTTTTCTAAAATATCGGGGTATGATTCACTTCGCTTCAGTTGCGAGGCTAAAGTTGAAGACTGCGGCGGAACCGAAGGTCATCCGATAACACTGGTTTTCACACCGAAACTTTTCTTAATCATATTATGCTGGTACAAAGCCGACTCCAAATTGTTGGAATAAAGCTCGTAATGCCCGTACAACTTATCCCTAGCCATTCAATTGGGATTTGAACCTAAGATGTGAATATTGCGTTGGAAAAAGCTTTGCATGGGTGTGGCTTGGTCTTTTGGTTTAGGGGATAGGATATAATTGCCATCAAGGGGTATATATTTTTAAGTAATTTTCAAAAGGGTGCGGTTTATATAGAGCCGAGGCTCTGAACAATCAAAATAAAGCGTACCTTCAAATAGTGTAAAAAAATGTGGTTTCAACTGGAAATCTTAGTGATAGCCTTAACATATATTTTCATTTTTAATTATAAAATTTAAAACTTCAAAAATGGTGTAGATCATGCATATCTATGAAAGCTTGAAAGATTTGAAAATCTTGAAAATTGACTGTCCAAAAAGGCATTACAAGATGCACTATTTCTAAAACTTTGAAATCTTTTTTTTTTTTTTAATGTTCATGCATCTTGATGTTAAGATGATCAATTTGAAAATATTTGGGCATCAAAACAACCTGTTCTAGTGAAATGTTTGAGATGGGCTATAATTTGAAATGTTTGAGGTGGGCTCTAATTTGATTGTTTAGTGCCTCGGCTCTATATAAACTTTTTCCTTTTTCAAAATGATCATAGTTTTGGGGAAGCTTGAAAATGAGGGTATGCACAAGACCTAAAACAATTCAACACAATTCATTCAAGTTATTTCACAGTAGGTCTGAGGTCTGAGAAATTAATTGGATTGAAATCTGAATTTTGGACCCTATCCAGATCTAGGTATGGATTCAAGATTTGGATCTGATGGGTCGGATCCGGATTCAAAATTTGAATCCGAATGAATTCAAATTGGATTTGGATATAGGTGGATTCTATTCAGATCTGACCAAAGTATTAAAATATTATATATAATTTTATAATATACATATATGTTATATAGTATTTTTTTGTTATACATTATTTTATATATAATAAAATAATATATAAAATAAATTTTTTGGATCTGAATGGGTCTAGATCCATATCCAAATCCCATATATACTTTTTGGATCTAGTTTCAGAACTAAATATCCTGGATTTGATCGGATTCAGATTTGGATCCAAATCCTATGTGTACTTTTCAATTCAAATATGGATCTGGATCGAGCCCGATCCGACCCATTCTCAGATCTATTTCACGAGCACTTTGAGTATATTAAGTTTTGCATAAATTATTAGTGTGGTAGCTTGAATAAAATTTGACTTGGGAATTCATATAACTTTATAGGAAATTGATCAAAATGCTCTTAAGGTATTAATTTCATAAATTTTACCCCAATGTTTTGATTTAATTTCAAAATTCCCATAAACATGATGCTCACTTGAAAAGGTGGAAAAAGTGAAAAATGTTAAAGGGTGTGGTTTCTATAAGGTTGCAACCTTAACCAATCCATTTAAGGTGCAATTCCAAAATTTATCATAACATATAATTTTGGTGTAAATGCTTTTTAAGATTATCTCTATTTTCATATCTAATTATAAAATTTTAAACTAAAAAAATGGTCAAAATCTAGTAGATCTATAAACTCTTGAAAATGGACGATCCAGATAATGTGTTGCAAGATGCACTATTTCTAGGACTCAAAATCCTTTTTTTTTTTTCCATATTCTTACATATCAATGTTGAGATGATCAATTAGAGAGTTTTTCAACATTAAAACAACCTTTTGCGATGGATTTTTGATGTGCGCCTGTAATTCTACATTTTAAGGTTGCATCCTTATATAAACTTTTTCCAATGTTAAATTGCTGAAAAGTGGTGTATTTTGATAATTTCCCTGACTTTATTTTATGTATTCATAGGATTTGAAGTAGGGAAGTATAATTGCAGTGGTCAACCCTTATACTAATCAAGCTCACGCCCTGTTCTCGAGGGAAATCATGTGACTCGTTCAATTAACTTTCAAATTGTCAATGAGGAAAATCGTTTAATAGGGCAGCGGGTTTATAAAACTGTACCGCAAATCTTGTAGGAAAAAGATGAATGTCGGGAGAATTTTCAAATTGATACTGCGAAAACATCCATTTATTTAAAGCAAAAACATGAATTTCAAGTTTTAAAAATAATCTATATTATTAATAAGTTTCTTTTTACTATTTATTTTAAGTTTTCACAAAACTGTCCGGTCTGTATTATTTTTGGAGCATTCAAATTTCACAATCAAGCTTGAAGAATGAGAAAGACCGTTACAAACGATTTCTAATAACAAAACTACATTTTCAGAGAGGCCTTACGTTGAGGATTTACAGAATTTTGTAGAGCCACGACCCCTCGAAAACCGCACCCATCCCGATCACACAAGTGTCTTTCTTTGCCATAAAATAACCCAAGAACAACAAGTCCAAGTTTTAAAGATGGATAACGCGTGCTATTTCCTTCATTTGTTTAGTGCCAATCATTTAGAGATTAATAGTGACTAATACATTATTAAATTTCCACTAACTCATGTACTTCATAGTCTAAGGCAAGTATTTAACTCCCCAAATAAGAAATTAAAGTATTCCCATGCAAACTCAAGCTTGAGTTAGTTAGTATGCATGGGTAAAATCAGTGTTTAAAAAAACGTTCGAGTCGGGAATCGCCATGGACGGATCGAATCGGCAAAAAAAACGGAAATTGTCCGGTTCTAGAGAGAACCGGACGATTCTGTACAGTGACTCGCCGATTCACTGTACGGAATCGGCGAGTCCGTACAATGAATCGGCAAGTCCCGTACGGATTTTTTTTTTTTTTTTTTGTAATCCATAATAGATTTTTTTGTAATACTTGATCAATTTTTTTGTAATCCATGATTGAATTTTTTTTTTTTCTTTTGTAATCCATGATAGATTTTTTTGTTTTTTTTTGTAACCCATGATAGAATTTTTTGTAATCCATGATCGAATTTTTTGTAATCCATGATCGAAATGTTTTTTTTTTTTCTTGTAATCCATGATCGAATTTTTGTTTTTTTTGTAACCCATGATAGAATTTTTTGTAATCTATGATCGAATGTTTTGTAATACATGATCGAAATGTTTGTTTTTTTTTGTAATCCATGATCGAAATGTTTGTTTTTTTTTTGTAATCCATGATCGAATTTTTTGTTTTTGCTTTTTTGTAACCCATGATAGAGTTTTTTGTAATCCATGATCGAATTGGTTTTTCTTTTTTGTAATCCACGATTGAATTTTTTGTTTTTTTTGTTTGTTTTTTTTGTAATCCATGATCGAATTTTATGTAATCCATGATCAAATTTTTGGTAATCCATGATTGAATTTTTTGAAAATTTGTGATTTTTTTTTTTAATCCATGATCGAATTTTTTTTTGTAATCCATGATAGAATTTTTTGAAAATTTATGATTTTTTTTTTTAATCCATGATCGAATTTTTTTGTAATCCATGATAGAATTTTTTGAAAATTTGTGATTTTTTTTTTTTATCCATGATCAATTTTTTTGAAAATTTGTTTTTGTTTTTTTAATCCATATTATTCAAAGAGAAAATGAGAGAGATGATGATTCAAAGGCCACCCTATCCCAGCCATATTATTCACATATCGAGTCCCAACAGCAACAGTGTAGGGATGAGCACGACAGTGCAGGTGAGCATGAAGGATGGACAATCTTCGGGAATTTTAGATTGGGAACACAACAAAACACTAACACTCAGGGATTTGGGAATAGTCAGATGTCTGCTAATATCGATGATTCGTTTTTAG